AGTCCAATGGGGCCTCTTCATCCAATGAACGGTCGCTGGAACGTCACCCAGAGGGGAGTTCATCCAATCAAAAGAAGCCATCCCCGCCTGCATTTTCCAATCCCCCAAATCCGAAACCGGTCACTGGAAAGCGCAGTCGGGATGACGGAAAGGATGTTTCAACTTCTGAGTCGCAGCGCGAGGCTGCAACCGAGAGCTCTCCCGTCCCGCCTCCAGCAAAGCGAGTGAAAACTGCTCCAGAGCCATCATCACTCGCTCAAAACCAAAAGAAAAATGCAATACTCAACCGGAACTCGACTGTGCAATCTTCAAAAGCTTCTGTTTCCAAACAGGTCGATGATCAATTGCCTGATAATCGTAAAAAGAATAAAGGTGAAGGCATTTGCCGGGATGGAGACCGCATTTCCACAGATACACTACTCTCTAACGACGTTAGGAGAGTACGGAGTACCCGATCTGATGGGAGCGAGGTGAGATAATCGAGTCGAGTCCATCTCTTTTTTGACAATCTGTATCTCTAGATTGCTTCTGGAACGGGACGATCTGCATCACCTTCTGTTGCGAATTCAGATTCATCTTCTGCCAAGCACAGTGAGACGAAAAAGGCCACTACCACCTCAAAAAATGCGGAAGGCAAAGCAAGCGGAGAGAACGATGTGTTGGAAAGAGAAATCCAAAGGAGGAAGAACAAGCCCAATAGGAAATCTCAAGTCAATCCTAACATCGACAATCCCGAAGGGCAGAATCCGGTTCGTGTTGATGTTCAAGATGATCGTTCGGACAACTTGACTGGAAACAAAACATCAAAAGCGAGCTCCTCAGATACAAACTCGAAATCATTGCGAACAGAAACAAGCTCCGAGAGCAAGAAGCCTGGAGAATCTAACAAGGCAAAACGGGTCGAAACTATTATTAAACCAATGATCACGAGCGCTCCTTCGATACTACAGGCAAATGTGTCCCTCCCATCCCCAGGGATCCATACTTTACCCAAGCGACTAAACCAAGATAGTAAACTCCCATCTTCTATCCTTATCTGTGCACAGGATCAGGATTCTAGGCTGCATTCGATTACCCACGAAGCACGCCGTTTGACCTACATCTTGCTTGGGTTTGGTATTCCTTTGGATTCTTGGATGATCTCCCCGACTTCGCAAGGGATCATGATTCGTGAAGAGGTGAGTATACAGTTAATGATCTCTGCCCACCTTAACTCTTTGCGCCTCGATCATAGGCAATAGCTATCATCCATCCGCTCTTGTCTGGCCGTCGTGTTGGGCAACTTCGTGAGGCTGGGTTGTGAGTACAGTTTCTTCAATTTGAATATCTCTCCTAAAGTAAAGACC